TGTGCCTAACTACAGGAATCGAAACTGCACTTCTTTTTACATCAAAAACGCATAGTCGAAACGGACCGCTACCTGTTTGGCCACACGAGGCTCGAATTACCTATCTAAGGAAACTGCAGTTCCAGTTGGGGCTTCTGCGAATTTATATTTGCTAGCTTCATTTTCGTATCCGGAAAGTAAATAATTTTTTTTTTGAAATGGACAAGAAATGACGTTTGTAAGAATAATAATGTCTGATTTTTAAAAAATCGGACATTATTTAATGCTGTTAAAAACGTTATTTTTAGTGGGGAAAATAATTTGATGCTATGAATTTATACAAACAAAAAATGTCAAAAACACACTAGAAACCTTTGCGCCAACGTTATGAAAAACGATAAGTATCAATAAATAATTCTTTTCTCTCGTTGGAACTCGAATAACGTTAAACAGTTTCTTTTATGAAAAAATTCTCAGAGTTAATCTGTAGAAAAAGACAATATTTATTAATGTAACCGACAATAAGAAAACTGTAATATTAGCCGACACGTTTCGTCTAATGTGGACTTTTTCGAGGTAAAAACGAAATGAATTTATTGAAACAAAGTAACTATTAATAACAAAACAAAATGTCCTTAGCAACTGGAAGAATTTAGAGAACGCCATTATATTCATATTGTCAACTGAAGATTATGTCAAGTACCATCACATGCGGAAATATGTTTTTATTGTTGTGTTGACGGATTCAACCATTTTCTTTTGATTTCTTGATACAGTTGATTACTTTTGTTTGGGAGAGTAGTAATTCTGTTATGAAAGGTGAAATAGGGAAAAAGCCTGTGCGTAGATTAATATTTGGGTAATATTCAATGGCGGCACTCTCGAGGATTTCCCTTCTGAGTGAGTTATTTTCTTTTTTATGAGTGTAGCATTTTTAAAATCAAAATTGTGGTTGAATTTATTTCTATGTATGACTAGTGGATTAGTTGTTTTTTGTGAGGTATCTTTTGTGTTCATAAATGCGTTTTTTTTTTTAAATTTCTGCTTGTTTCTCCAATATATTGGGAGGAACAGTTTTGGCAATTTATTTTATAAATGCCTGCTTCAGAAATATTATTGCTATTAGTGTTTGAAGATCTGATTATATCCATAATGGTTTTGGAAGTGTTTGTGATTATTTTAAGATTATCTAGATGGGATAGGTTGTTGATCCAGGCGACAAATTTGGTTGAAATGAATTGGATTAAAAGGAAATGTAAAATTGTTTGTTCTTTTTTTATTTTGTTTTGTTGTTTTTTTTTTTTGTTTTTACAATTCCTTTCAGGTTTATATTATAAATATGCCTCTAATGGTCACGATCTCTACTGGAAACCGCAGTATTCAGCTGAATAGAATCGGTTGTGTCATGCCGTTGGATTTAACTGTGTCGCTTATCGTCCGACATCCATCACAAACCAAGGTCTGTTAACGCTTGCCTATCTATGTAAATGGAGAGCTACCAAGAGAGTGATCGTGAACTGCCCATCTAACAAACTATGAACAATTCTACTAAAGGACTGAGGAATCGGACAGCCGAATTCTACACTATTTACGTTATTCGGACTATTGTCTTCATCTTTGTCGCCATATTTATCACAACGTTTCGGCTGTTGTACGCTCCGGCCTTCTTCAGGTGGTTGGAATGTCGAACTGAACCCTTTATTTCGCTCACTGGGGTAGACTGTTCTAGTCCCACGTGTCATGTTTGATGGATTTCAGTTATCAGTTATCTCCTGTTAATTTTTCCTCTGTGGGATCAGGTTGAGATCATAGACAAGGAACACCATTGGAAAGTTCGTAAACTTAAGGAATCAGCACATATGTTAGGCCACAAAAATCTCCTGAGCCGACGAAGCATTGAAATAAATACAATATGGGAACCAGTAATAAGGAGTTCCAGAGAAAAGCAATGATAACAACAAAGTTGCAATATGAGCTCTGGTAAAAACATGGAATGATAACAGCAAAATTGCAACTGGTTAAAGTAAAAAAAGTTTTAAAAAAAGAAAACAAAAAAATATTTTTCTAAGAAAAAAAAAAAACACTGCAAATCCAATTCTAAGAAACAAAGTTTTAATTCATCTCTATCTATAAAAGGCAGGATGTGTGTGTGTGTGTGTGTGTGTGTGTGTGTGTGTGTGTGTGTGTGTGTGTGTGTGTGTAACGAATGCACGGCCGCAATTTTCGACGGATTTGCACCAAAATTTACATGCACATGCTCCAAGTTAGTGGGAAGGCCAAGACTGACTTTGCATTTCCCAACTCCCATCGATAGTGGAAATAATCGATTTGTTCATGCTTCTATGGCAATTTTCATGTAGTTTGCGGCCATTTTGTACTGGCCAGAGTGAGAGCCAATAGCTGGCTGCCACGAATGTTAACTAGCATGCTAGCATGCAAAAAAAAAAAAAATCGATAGCTGCATTCGTCACAAGTGGGAAAAATTTAAATCCGCATGGCACTTTAGACCAATTGGCTCATTCGCTTGCTTAAATTTCTGATTTCGCAGAACTGGGTTGGGTGTGAAAAAGTATTTGTTGTTAACATTCTTTTTTCATTCAGTTTTTCCAGTTACAAGTCCTTTTTTTAAAGCTGATCGTTTTGTGTTCATTTTGTTTAGTTCTTTTTTCGTAACAGATTTAATGTTTAGTATAGAGCTTAGAAAAAATTCGCAGTGTGAGATAGGCAAGAAGTAAGGCATGTAGCAACATCAGCACGGCTAAGGGCACTCTTTTAAAGGCAAGGAAGGGCCAAAATATTTTAAGCCAAGTGATAGCGATTGCTGTATAATCAAGCACGGGCAACGCCGGGCCATGCTGCTAGTATATTATAAATAAATAACACTATATTAAATATTAGGTGCCTTTTTTTCCAATCCTCATTTTAGTCTATACAATAAGTTTTTGTACAGAATCTAACAAAAACTTTTACCTATATATATATATACATACATACATACACACACACACACACACACACACATACACACACACACACACACATATATATATATATATATATTTAAGATTTAAGAAACAGCAGATATTTTTCTATATATTGCTCAATATTAAAAATATTAAAATAATATTAAAAATAGAGCGTTAATTATATTATATGAAAAGATTACTTAACTTTTAAATATCAATGTTATCTCGACTTTGGAAATACTGTTTAAAACCACAACCCTTGAAGACTGGAAATTTTACCAAGAAACATTGATGCCGGACTAAAATTGATATTTAAAAGTTAAGTAATCTTTTCATATATATATATATATATATATATGGTCGTTCGCTTTCGGACCAAGAGCCTCGATTCGAATCCCACCATGATGAATTTGTCTGGGAAGTTACTTATGATATTATTGGTCTTAGGAAGGCAATCCCAGCGACACTGATTGTAAAGTGCCTGAAAATCCTACCACAGGTTGGCCCAAACCTGAAATTGGTTAGAACGAAGTCACAATTCATCGTGACCGAGGCTTTGATTATGCACTCACTCTCAGAAACTATAAATTAAAGTCTGCTCAGCTTTGTTTCTGTATAACAAGCAGATCGGCTTTGTGGGTGTTGATCAAATACAAATGTGACTGAAAAGGCATCTGCAAGAGGAATCGTAAAGCCTTGCTAGGGGATGGGTATGCTTGGAAACTGCCATTGATATACATATGAATATTCACCTACTTTTCTCTCTTTGAAATGAGCCAATCAGAATAATTATTGTGGAATCTATCCCGGGCGACGTCTGGTGTTTTATTTACAAGAAATGTTACTCTCTAACGCATATGTCCATCAGATGCCGACCATAGATGCAGAGAACTACGCAGGCCGGCATGAAGCTGTTGTTTAATGTTTCTAAGAAGCCTTTGTTGCATTGTGATAAATCTTGTGCCCCCAAGAATGTTATTCCAACAGAAGAAAGAAAGCTTGGGTTTTATTCTACATTATTACGTCTTTATTTAATTTTTCGTTTTTCTTTTGCTTTTCTTTCACCCAAATACTATCAATGTTTATCTTCCACCATTACCGACCCTTGGGTGAGAAGCTCGCTGTCCATCAACAAACATACACACACGGTGACCACCAAAATCTTTTCTTTTCTTTTTTTTTTTTTTTTCATCGTTTTTTCTTCTGCAGCCTATTAACGCTGTCCATGTATACATACATATGCCTTGTGGGCTACTCATCACACACACACACATATATATATATATACGTAACATTTTTCACCACGCTTTCTGCTACTGGGATCTGTCTAATTGGTCGGATTGTAGGACGCTCGGAGTGAAGGAGAAAGACTGCAGAACACTAAGTTAATTATAACGTTTCTCTGTCCACTTCAGTCTGTTTTTATTTATCGCTGCTTATTTTTCCTTTTTTTCTATCTATCTATCTATCTATCTATCTATCTGACTGTCTAAGTCGGTTTATATCCATCTGATCTATCTCAGTCTGTTCATTATCTATCTATCTATCTATCTATCTATCTATCTATCTATCTATCTATCTATCTAACTGTTCATGGCTGTGTAAGTCTGTTCATATCTATCTATCTATCTATCTATCTATCTATCTATCTATCTATCTTTGGACTGTTCATTATCTATTTATCAGTTTGTCTGTCGGACTGTCCATTGTATATCTATCTGTTTGTCTCTCTCGGATTGTTCACTATCTATTTATCTGTCTATTTCTCTTGGACTGTTCATTATCTATCTATCTATCTATCTATCTATCTATCTATCTATCTATCTATCTTGGACTGTTCATTATCTATCTATCTATCTATCTATCTATCTATCTATCTCATACTGTTCATTTCTGTTCTCACATTGTTCATGGCTGGGTGTCTAAGTCTGTTCATATCTATCTCATTCTGTATCTATCTATCTATCTATCTATCTATCTATCTATCTATCTATCTATCTATCTATCTATCTAATTTCATTATTTTCTTTTTCTCCCTCGCTGTTCGTTAAGCTTATGTCTTTTTCTTCTTTTATTCCCCCATTTTATCTCCCTTACTTTCTTTCTATAGAACCCTACAACTGTCTCATCATTTTCATGCCTTCCCCTTTTCTTTATCTCTCTTTGACGACAATGACAGACTTTCTCTCCTCCCTTTGTATTTTTATCTCTCTTCGTCTTCATATCTCCCTTCCTATTTCTTTTTCTCTAACTTTCTCTCTCCCGCCTTTCCTACTATAATCTTCCAATAGATATGGATAGATAGATAAATTTTCAGTTTGACCCTGACTCAATCTCTCTTTATTTTATATTTTCTCCCCTCGCCATTTCTCATGGCTTCTCTTTTTATTTTAGCAGACATTTGCATTTTTTGTTTTCAGCATTCCCCCGTTTTATCTTTTTTTTTCTTGAATTTTTCATTGAATTTCTTCCTTTATTCATCGCTTACATTTTTCATCAGGCTCCTAATTCCTCCTCCTCCATCTCCTCCTTCTCCATCTCCCCTCCTCCTCCATCTCCCCCTCCTCCTCCATCTCCCCCTCCTCCTCCATCTCTCTCTCCCTTTTTCTCTGTAATTTCCTGTTTTATTCTTCTGTTTCCTCTTACCTTCTCTCAAAATCCTTTTATCTATCTCTCACTATCTCCCTCTCTTTTTCTCTCATATACTTACTCTTTACTCTCGCTCTTTCTCCAGCCACCTTTATGTTTTTTATCTATCTATCTATCTCTCCTTCCAAAAATATTTTACTCACTGTTTCTATTTTTCAACTTTACATGCCCTAATTCTTTTAACTACTTTTCTCAATGTCTTCACCGTTGTCTTGGTTTATCAATCTGTTTATCTGTCTCTCTCGGACTGTTCATTATCTATCTATCTATCTATCTATCTATCTATCTATCTATCTTGGACTGTTCATTATCTATCTATCTATCTATCTATCTATCTATCTATCTATCTATCTATCTATCTTGAACTGTTCATTATCTATCTATCTATCTATCTATCTATCTTGGACTGTTCATTATCTATCTATCTATCTATCTATCTATCTATCTATCTATCTATCTATCTATCTTGGGCTGTTCATTACCTATTTATCAGTTTGTGTCTCGGACATTATGTGTCTATCTGTTTGTCTCTCACGGACTGTTCACTATCTATCTGTTTCTCTCGGACTGTTCATTACCTACCTATTTACCCGTCTATCATTCTTGGTCTATTCATTATCTATCTATCTATCTATCTATCTATCTATCTATCGAACTATTCATTCTCTTTCTGTTTATACCGTTCTCTACCTATTGTCGATTATTCTGCTTCTCTCTTTGTCTCTACTATGGCTTAAACCAGTACCGATTTTCTTCTGGCAGTTCAGTCGCTTGGCCGATGGTGCGTGTGGCTGACTTTATAGATCTGAATTGCATTCCGGTGTATTGAATGACATAACATTCATTAAACCAATTCCTCTCCTCTTCTCTTCTATCCTTGCACCTCCTTTATGCACAATTATTGTCCGTTGGCTTACTTTCCGAAGAATCTGTACAGTCTCCTACATTTGCCTAGATAGTTTTTTTTTCTGCAGATCGGGCTGTACCGACCCAACACCACTCATACTGACCACATTTACTCGTCCTCTTTCTTCTTCTTCTTATCATCTACTGGCGACCTTTCTTATGCTTGCTCTCCTTGTTTAGTTTCATTTTTTTTTCTTCCATTTTTCTATTGACGTTTTCATTTTTTGGCTTCTTTGGGTGTTTTCTTTTGGGGGGGGCCTCATTTGGAGAATAACAAATAGTTTTGTTTTGAATAACTAAAAGTAAGTCAGAAGAGTATATTCTTTCGCAAAAATACGAAAGAATTTTCTATCTATCTATCTATCTATCTATCTATCTATCTATCTATCTATCTATCTATCTCAGCCTGTTCATATCTATCTATCTATCTATCTCATTAAATTTCTATCTCATTATTTTCCTATCTATCTATCTATCTATCTATCTATCTATCTCATTAAATTCCTATCTCATTATTTTCCTATCTATCTATCTATCTATCTATCTATCTATCTATCTATCTATCTATCTATCTATCTATCTCAGCCTGTTCATATCTATCTATCTATCTATCTATCTATCTATCTCATTAAATTTCTATCTCATTATTTTCCTATCTATCTATATATCTATCTATCTATCTATCTCATTAAATTCCTATCTCATTATTTTCCTATCTATCTATCTATCTATCTATCTATCTATCTATCTATCTATCTATCTATCTATCTATCTCAGCCTGTTCATATCTATCTATCTATCTATCTATCTATCTATCTATCTATCTATCTATCTATCTATCTATCTAAGTATATTCTTTATCTATGTATCTATGTAAGAATATTCATTATCTCTTTATTTACCTTGTCTGTTTAATTCTTTCGCAATTTTGATGTTCCTTTCTTTCTTTTTTCTTCCTTCCTTCCATCCTTTCTCCAGTCTCTGTTACTGACTCATTTCAAGCATTCTATCTATCTATCTATCTATCTATCTATCTATCTATCTATCTATCTATCTATCTATCTATCTCAGTTTGTTCATATCTATCACTCAAAAGAGTAAATTCTTGCGTATTTTTACGAAAGAATTTACTGTCCTTGTAGTTATTCGAAAGTATTGTTATTGTAGAAGACACTCTCTTGCATTCAATATTAAGTGAATACCTCTTAAGATGATTTACAAAATACTGTTTCTGTCAGATTTTCGTCTTTCTAAATTTACTGTGAAAAAAAACAACAAACAAACAAACTGGCAGTTCTTTGTCATCTGTTTTTGCATTTCTGTAAATTGACTGAAAGCATGCGTCATACAAACAGACCCCCCCCCCCACCAAAAAAATGCGAAAATGGTAGTATAGAAGGTTTCAAAAACAGATTAAAGGAATTCAATGTATGCATTTATGTGGAGGCCCATTTAGGTTAGCGGTCAGTCTCCTAGCAGAATTCGGTAGAAAATATCAACGGTATGAAAATAAATGAATTTAATGCATACAAGGATTAAGTAGGTCGGTGGGGGGGGGTGTAAACGGTAGTTTCAGAGCTATGCCGCCCGGAACTTCGTTCCTGGTAGGGCCACCCAAGGCGGACAGGTCTGACACACACACCGGCTAACAAGGGCTCTGGTGAAAATCCAAGGAGCGTCTGCATCGGTAACCGGCGGCTTCTGGTCGTTCCTGTCTCTGCGTCTGTGAGAACCCCGCGGCAAGCAAGAACGTTATCCGAGTAGGCCTGGGTACCCTACTTCTGTAATTTATCCCAAGAATCTTCTTCTCATAACAGGAAGAAGCCGGCTCAATCCTCCCAGGGTGAATGCCGCATCAGTACAGTAGTACAGTAAGGATTAAGTAGACATCTGTTTATCTTGCTAGATAAAGATAGTGCCGTGTTTAGTCAAAATTAACGCTCCTTTGGTGGGACTGATGCGATGTTTCCGTGGAGCAAGCCTAGGCAATGGTATACGTAGGCCCTGTGCCGTTCAGACTATATACCTTCTCTCAGCCATATCGACAACCTCCAAAATAATTGCAGGTGTTGGAGATTTGTCATCATTGACAGCCAATTGCACCCGAAGCTCCCCTCCCTGCTTTCTGTCTGGAATTTACTTCCATAGACTTTTCCGTGTTTGATCTCTAGGCAGCGGAGGTTTAAAATCAATGTTTTCCTTCCTCTAGATCAGTGTTTGGGAACATGGCCGCTAGCGTCCCCTTGTAGGCTCTGTTATGTTGAAAGCGGGTACTGGGAGTTTTTATGCCATTTGGAGGGGCAGTGAACTGGGTCATTTATGCGTTTTTTTTTTGTTTTTTTTTTTCAAATTTTCAAAAATTATTCAATATTGGCAGTAAAAGGAAATTTCTGAATGGTATCTAAAGCTGTGGGAAGCTATTAAACCTTTCTTCATTTCCTTTTCCAATTTTCTATATGGCTGAATGTGCTTCCAACGCAGTTACACAGGTTCTTACTAAACAAAGAAACTGCCTGCAAATTACAAAGCAAGGAGATCTACGTTTACTATTAAGCAACATGGAACCCAGAGTAAGAGCTTTAGCCAGTAAGCACCAAAGTCAACCATCGCATTAAAAACGATTCTAGGAACATTTGCCGTAAACATTTTTGCCGTAGGAAAACTCGCCTCTAGAATTTTCGCCGTAGAAAACTTTGCCGTATAGGATTTTTGCTGTAAGATAATTTCGCCGCTTTTTTTTTTTAATATGCAACGTACCTTGTTATGAAGTATATCTGGCTCACACTATTGTTGCTTTGATTTAATAAGCGAAGTTATAAGATCAAAATCCTTCATCATTCATCCTCGTCAGTGAAGAGAGTAAAAATTTCTACTTGATACCAGAACCCACGCCGCCATTTTTGTTTTCATTCATATTTCTAGTAATTTTTACACTTTTATAGTGTTTTGTTTGAGGTTTCTCTGTTTGCCCATAGCTGGGACCCTAACAGGTCCTACCACCCCAGGACGGCCCACAATGGTAAGACATTAACTAGATTAGTGTTTCCCAACGTTCACACTTGTGGGTTCTGTTATCTTGAAATGGGGCACTGGGGTTTTTATTACATTTGGGAGGTGAACAGACTCAGTGGGGCAGGGGCGGGGGGGCATTTATCTATTTTTTTTTCAGACTTTCAAAAATTATTCAATATTGGCTGTAAAAGGAAATTTCTGAATGGCATCTAAAGCTATGGGAAGCTATTAAACCTTTCTTCATTTCCTTTTCCAATTTTCTATATGGCTGAATGTGCTTTCAACGCAGTTACACAGCTTCTTACTAAAGAAAGAAATCGTCTGCAATTACAAAGCAAGGAGATCTGCGTTACTATTAGGCAACATGGAACCCAGAGTAAGAGGCTTAGCTATTAAGCACAAATGTTAAACATCGTATTGAAAAGATTGAGATAAGCTATGAAATAAAGATTTCTTTTTAGTATTTTAATTATTGGCATTTATAATAAAAATGAAAACAATATTAAAATTTAAGGATAGCTAGGAATATGCATAATTTATATGGCATTTTAATGTATATTTTAAAAGCTAAAAAAAAAAAACAACCGGTTTCGTCCCAGCCTTATCAAGTTTATTTCTGGGATATAAAAAATAAACGTGTAAATTCAATTGATATTAATGATACCCACTGGAGGAAAAAAATATGAATTTCAAGAAAGCTAGAGTCCAATAGCATTCAGATCCAGTAAGCATTCCCTCTGTTTACAGGCCCACGGGATCTGATATACAAGGACTCTAGAACCTTGAGGTGATATGAGGAGTGAGTCCTCGATAAAACAGAGAAACATTCCACACTAAAACACATTTCTTAGTGTTTATATAACATGCTCTGCAATAGAAGAGACAGAATTCAAATTCCTGGTAGGTAAGTGTTGCTTTATTCTCAAATCCAAATGTTGAGACGTCTTCCCTATGTAGTCGAGTCCACAACTACACTTATATTTATAAATGACTGAATTAACATGATTGGGGTGGGGTGGGGAAGACATCCTTACGAATGGAAGAGAAAATAGGACGGGTAACAAATATTACCCGAACATTAGCCGAAAAATAACAGCTATTAATCGCACACGAAATTCGCCTAGCTAAAGACTCGCCCTTTGAACCAATAAAGGGAAGATGCAAATAAACTGGACATCTTTTAACAAAAGGCAGCTTAACACTATGAAATTTATTGATGACATCACGGATAATAGAATCCAAATCATCCAAAGGATATCCGACAACTCTCTTATATCCGAGTTACACTGTACTTCCACACAAATATTAACCATGTGTTCCCTTTAATTGTACTTCACCTCCCCATTATGGATGCAAGAATGTCCTGAAAAATTTTCGACCCCAGCCAAGAAGCCATTTAACAACATAATAAAACAATTTCTGATACTTTGTCACGTGTTCAAGATGTTTAGAAGTAGATCCTGCTAAGAACTTTTCAGCAATCTTTAAATATCAGAGCGGATGAAGCCCTTGAAAAGGCATCCTATCTTGGATCTTTTACACTTGGTCAGAGAACGTTTCTTGTTTATGTAAGCTCGAAGAACCTGTAGCATGTTTCAGAGAGAAGGATGGGCACCGTCAAATAATCCTGATTTCTCTAAGAAACACGATAAAGGGGAATTACTCGGTATAGCAGGAAGAAAGGACTAACTATCAATTCTAAGAAGACATAATATACGGTTGTCAGCTAGAGGGACAGCCCAAGCAAAGGAAACATCTGATAAGTGTTTTAGCAGACGACGGAAAATACGACACCGGAATTTGAAGGCGCTACGGGGTATCAAAAGATGCCTTCTAAAAGCTAAGCAAAGTATTACAAAACAACAAAATTTCATTAGAAACAAGAAAAGAGTGCTGAACAGCTTTGTAATATTAGTCTTCCTACATAGCAGTGGATGATGGAAAATTTCCTCACAGATGAAGAGGAGACTTGAGGCAAAAGAGATATGGTTCTACAGAAGGATATTGAAAATACAGTAGACTGAACATGTGAGTAACGAGGAAGTGTTAAGAAAAATGAAAACAAAAAAAAAATGCTTACCTATTCGAATCAGAAAGAGAAAATTAACATTTCTGGGACACATAATGAGGAAAGAGGGCTTGGAAAATTTGACACTCACAGGGCATACTGAAAGCAAAATAGACAGAGGTAAACACTGAGTAACTTACCTAACAAGCTTGACTGAATAAATTTGCAGAACAGGGAGTGGGAGGAATAGAAAAAAAGACAAACATCACTAAGAGCTATAAAGGATAGGAAGTTGTGGAGAGCCATGACTGCCGACAGCCTGAAGGGATTCGGCTCATACAAGATACTGTACTACATCTCGACCTTCTAATAAGTCAAGGGAAATTGTTTATTGCTGGGGTATTTTATCGTAGGGATGTTTCTTGCTTGAAGGGTTCTTGTCATGGAGAATGCTAGCTGCATTCTGTTACACACACACACACACACACACACGTACGTACGTGCATTCCTCCCCCCCCCCACAGAAACACACAGACACACATTCCTTCTTGTACAAGGCTATGCATTATCACAAAGAGAGATATTTCAGAGAACAATGTTTCGACGTGTAATTTTTTTTTAATGGTCAGCAAGGGGAGACAATCCATTCATTATATTCTTGGATCAACGGGTAATTTCTGAATTATTCATCTACGGCGTATGAAATTTATTTTATTTCAAAGTGCTGAGTTCCGTCGTTTTCTTCTCGCTTCTGCATTATTCTTCATTCCCTTTCATTACAAAGCAGAGAAGTGAGACAGAGGATGGAAGTCACCTACTGTTCACGTATAGATGTTGTTACAGGGTGGGAATTGTTCCCCAACCATCAATTCTAACGAACGAACACAACAGAGAATAATGGTTCCGCCTTTTGACAGTAATGTGATACAGAACAAAAAAAAATGATTACGGCAAGACGATTTTGAAGAGAAATGATTACAATAGTCGTGTTAATTACAATAAAAATAATAATGCATACCGGTAGTACTGCGGCTTTAAACAACAACAGCAATAATAATGATAATAATATTAATAATA